TACTTAGGAGGCTGAGGCAAGAGGATCCCTTGAACCCAAGAATTTGAGGTTGCTATGAGCTATGATGCCATGGCACTCTACCCAGGGTGACAAAGGGAGAGTATGTCTCGAAAAAAAAATTTTGTAATATGTTCTGTATTAATCGTCATTTATCATATACACCCCATTTCAATGTTTAAACATGTTATATAAAAATCATAGTTTCGGCCGGGCCTGGTGGCTCATGCCTGTAATCCTAGCACTCTGAAAGGCCAAGGCGGGTACATCACTTGAGCTCACAGTTCAAGACTAGCCTGAGCTAGAGTGAGACCTCATCTCTAAAAATAGTTGAGTGTTGGCTTGGCGCCTGTGGCTCAAGCGGCTAAGGCGCCAGCCACATACACCTAAGGTGGCGGGTTCGAATCCCCAGCCCGGGCCCGCAAAACAACAATGATGGCTGCAACCAAAAAATGGCCAGGCGTTGTGGCGGGCGCCTGTGGTCCCAGCTACTTGGGAGGCTGAGGCAGGAGACTCGCTTGACAGGAGCTGGAGGTTGCTGTGAGCGTGATGCCATGGCACTCTACCCAGGGGGATAGCTTGAGGCTCCGTCTCAAAAAAAAAAAAAAATAAAATAAAATAAAAATAGTTGAGTGTTGTGGCAGGTGCCTGTAGTCTCAGCTACTTGGGAGGCTGAGGCAAGAGAATTACTTGAGCCCAAGAGTTTGAGGTTGCTGTGAGCTATGACGCGACAGCATGCTACTGGAGGCAACAAAGTGAGATTCTGTCTCAAAAAAAAAATCAAAACAAAAAAATTAAAAATCTCAGTGTTGTCATTATGAAGGTATTTGTAGGATAGAGTTCTTTTTTTTTTTGGAGTTTTTGGCCAGGGCCAGGTTTGAACCCACCACCACCAGTATACGGGGCTGGCACCCTACTCCTTGAGCCACAGGCGCCACCCAGGAACATAGGGTTCTTACTAGCTCATTCAGTGAGAAGCCTATTTCTTCCACATGTTCTCCATTCTGCTTAGTCCAGATCGAATGTTTTTTGTTCTTGTACCCAATCTAAGGGCTCCATCGTGAAGACAATGGAGGTGGTAGAGATGGGGATGCTGAGGAAGGTGTGTTGGCTGAGGTGTACACGACAAGGATTGAGGGAGGAAAGCAGTTGGGGCTGCCCTCACTCCCAGCCTCACTTCACTCCCAAAGATTTGAAGTTCTGCTGGCAGACCATCATGCCAGGCGGGAAGACCTGCAGGTAGTAAGGGCAGACCCGCCCTAGCCCTGCCCAAGCACAACACAGGCAGGCAGTCATTGCCCCGGCTCCCAAATCCCTGCTACCGTCTGCAAGCTGTGTGACTGTGGGGAGTTACTTCACCTCTCTGTGCCTGTTTTCTCACCTATAAAACTAGGACAATAACAACACTTAACTTAGGTTTCGTTTTGTAAGAAGTGAGGTACTGAGCAGAGCGTGAAGCACTTGGCCTGGTACCTAGCACATGGGAAACATTCGCAAACAATGTCGTTGGTTTTGTTATTCCACCACTGGGCTATAAACTCTATGTGAGCATAAATCCTATTTTAATTACATTGTTCAGTAGCCACACATAATTGCTTCCCCCAAAATGTTTAATGGAATCTTCCTCCCCACTACCCTCCCCCAACACACACACAGAGTGAGTCCCTGGCAGTGGGTGCTGAGTGCCTGGCTCGGCCCAGAGGCCACACCCCTGAGAGGTAGGGCCAGGCTATTGTGGCTGAGATTCTTTCCAAAACCAAACAAAAAACGGAAAACCCTGAATTAAAGGGTACCGGTGCTAAGCCCGGTGAGGGGCTTGATGAGTGCCAGTGCTGAGCCCTGCCATCTCCCCAACTCTCTTCCTTTCAAGGAACCTCAGGCCCCCTCCCTGAACTCCTCCCTTCTCTGAACCCCCTTCTATTCTCTAAGCCCCCTTTTCTCACCGTGATCCCACCTTTTTCCAGAGCGCCTATCACCTCACTAAAATACCTCCTCATGAACCCCCTCCCTTCTCTGTACCCCATCTTCTCGCTAAGCTCTCTAGAACCTTCCCCCCACCCCCACTGCTGCCACTCTGTGACCCCTTCCCTAGCCTCTTGCCCTTGCTGAGACCTGGCTCCCGCTGTGCTCTTGGCCTATTGATGTCACTGACCACCCCCTACTCCCAACCCAATCAAAAATCCCTTCCAGGCCCAGCTCAGACAGGTCTCCTCTTTGAAGCTTCCCACCCTACACCAGGAAGGACAAATTGTGTCCCCCTCCCCCCTTTGCTTTGTTCATCTCTGATCCCCTGGTCAATTGTGTCTGTGGTGCCTGAGTCTGACCCATCTTGCAGGCCCCAGGCACACCACAGGTGCTCCCAGAGATTTGCTGCCAGCAGCTCCAAGTAAGATTGTGCGATCAAGAAAAGAGATTTACACCAGAAGTGTCAGAAAGGTGTTGGTGAAGGGAAAAAGCTGCAGGGTCAGCTGCATGTAGCATTTCCAGAGCACCTCAGGTGCCTTGTCAGACCCCATGAGACCAAGGTCTCATCAAGGCCGCTCAATACAGGAGGAAACCAGGGGTTGAGTGCTTGCTCCAGGCCTGTGTATCAGACCAAGATTGGAACCAAAGGCAGGGCTGAGATGTGGGTGCTGTAAGTGGCTGGGGAGGGAGGCATCTCCTCTGGTACAGTGTACGATCTGATCTGAGACTGACCTCCCTGACCCAGCTTACTATTCCTGACACTGATCAGAGCTGCTCCCCCATCCTCCCACCACCCTCTCCTGGAAAGAGCCAGTTCTGACTCACACCCTTTCCCGATCAAGGTGATCTGGGAATGAGGTCGGGAAAAGGAAGGAAACACCCCTCAGATGCAGGCCTCCCCCCTTGACCGCTTGGCTCTAGAGCCGGAAAGAGCCACTTTAAGACTCTCCCTGGGGACCTATGAGCAGAAAGAGAGAGGATCCGGTTCTTGGGGAGTGGCTGAGGTAGAGAGCTCATCTCATCCTCTCCCCGCTATGCACTCTGTCAGGGACCCCTTCCCCAGAAGGCCGATGGAGTCTGACATCTCTATGACCCTGCTCTGCCTGTGTGGTGGAGGATCTGTGCTTGTCTCCCAAGACTGTGTTCACTGTTGTCCTGGGAAAGGGTCCTGTAGCCCTCAGACTGGGAACTCCTGAGAGCAAGGCTCTCAGCCACCAACTGGAGTCTCCTGGGGGCAGCTCCACATCTCCCCTCAACCTGGAACTCCCAGAGCTGGGGCTGTCTCCCCTCTCTGAGGGAAGATAGGGTCACTTTCGACTAAGGGCTTCAGTGTGGGGGATCACCAGAACTCGGTCAGATCAGGAGCTGCCCCAGGGCACACATGCATGGCACCCCTAATCCCATATCTATAACCCCAGCATCTGTCCTGGATCCTTAGAAGGGAGCTGTGTAGGGGGTCCTGCCAGCCAGTCTACTAGGAAGCTGCCATAAGACCAAAGGGATGGGGGTTGCTTCGGCATCAGACACACACAGCCCCATCCTCCCCCCAGGCAAGCCAGGTTTCCTGCCATTGACAGCTTCGCAGCTGGGCCCTGCCCTGCCTCCCTGAGCTTAACCCCTTCATAACCAGATCTCAAGGCTGAAGCCCACACCCCCAGAATTAAAGTGCCATATCATTGGACTGTTTTGAGTATTAAATATGTTAATCCTTGTACGGAGTGCTTAGAACAGCCTCTAATATATATTAATCTCTCAATAAAAATTACCTATTATTCCTAACTGTGTGAGCTTGGATAAATCATTTCACCACTCTGAGCCTCAGCCTCTTTATCTATAAATGGGGAAAATAATAAAACCTACTCCCCAAAGACTGTCTTGGGGATTAATCTCAACAATGCAGCTCAAAGCATTTTGTAAAGGACTGTAACCACACGCTATGGAACTATCATGGACAAAAATACCCCCAAACCCCTCCTTTTAGCTTTGTAATAAAAATCCCTTACCAGGCGGTGAGCCTTGGGCTTTTAGACCCATTCGTGGCTTGACAGAGTGCAATGGGAAGAGAGAATTGAGAGCTGGGCAGTCTCCCTTTCTGTTCCTGTTTCATTACCCATTGAGTGTGGTTGATCATCCCTGCTGGGTCCCTATCTAGGGTCCTTCAGGGGTCAAAGTAGATCAGAGAGCACAGAAGGGAACATGCTTTACAACCATTAACAAGCACTAGAATGGTGGAGGAGGGACTTAGAGAAAGTGCTCTGAAAAGGGGACAAGTCTTTGAACAAGGGGTGCTGGAGTTACCTGCTGAGACAAGGGGAGGAGCTCTCCTGGGGGTAAAGGCTTCCTTGTGAGATGTGAGGTGTCAGAGAAGAAACTCTGGCAGATCTAGGAGTCCCCATGTGGGGGCAGAGGAAGAAGGGGAACAAAGGACCTAGGCTTGTCCTTGCAATCAGTCCCTCACCACCCTCTTCCCAGCCAATCCCATTTACCATCAGAGAACCTAGGGCAGAAGAATCTCCATTGGCTCCTGGGGCACCACTTTCATGCCAAGACTTGCTGAGACAAACTCGCTGCACATCTGTAGCACCCTCAGGCTACAGATTCCTGGCCTCACCCCTAGGGATAGCAGGCTTGACACTACCCAATACCCGACCAGGACAAGTCTAAACCTGCCACAGAGGAAAAAAGCAAGATGACTAGAACTCTGCTCTGCCTTTCCATTCAGACTGTCAGAGAGGGGGCTGACCCCACATGAGGAGCAACCCCATCCCATGGACCTTTGGAGAAAGCCTGAGGATTGGGATACTTCCTTTGGGGTCCTGGCTCTGTGCCGACCTCAAGGTGCCTCCTTGGCAAATCATTTAATATGGCAGGGCCTGTTTGGCCAACTGTAAAATAAAGGAACTGGGCCAGGTTCACAGGTCCTTTCAGTGCTGAGAGAGTGTGATCAGGAAGGAGTTAACAGAGGCCAGATTCTGGGTCAGGAAGGCAAGGGTTAATCTGGGGGGGGGGGTGGAGGCTCTCTCTGCTTTTCCTGTGGAGAGTGAGGTTTGGCTGCCACCAAAGTTACTTCTAGTCCCTGCTGTCCCTCCTGCCCTCAGTCTGGACCTGCCCAGGGACCCTGCAATTCGACCTTCCCACGCAGAAGTGAGTGTATCCTGAGCTCAGAGCTGAGGTTGGGAGAGGGACCCAGAGACCCAAGGGCAGGGAGGCTGGTGCCAAGCCAGTGAGCCTAGAGGGCAGAGTTGGGACTGCTAACTCCAGGACTGGGAGAAGGTGGGCCGAGGGATGGAGGGCTGGAGACCACTAGCAGGCTTCTAGGGTGGGATGTCTGCAGATGGGCATCCAGGCCAGCCCAGAAGGCGGGGAGGAGGCAGCAGACTGTAGACTATTTTGGTCCTTGTATTTAGGGACTTTTTATAGTCTCCCTGCTCAGTGCTGGGGAGGAGGGGACAGAGGGCATTCTTGTGAAGTCAGACAAACGCAGTGCCCTCTGGGACCTTGGAACCTGACCCACTGCCCAGTATAGTCTCTGGGAGCAAGAAGGAACACTGCCAGGCTCTCCTTGTTCTCAGCCCTCAACTACCTGTGGGCAGACTTACTACACACTAGCCGGTGGAGTAGGGGGTAGGCTGGGTTTGGCCCCTCATGGTCCCTTCCCTCCATCCCCCCAGCTCATTCTGTTCCTTTGCTACCTCTAGATCTAAGGTCCCTCAGCCCCCAGAACTTAAGGGCAGTGTGGAGGAGGGAGTGAGGAACATGTGGGTGGCCTCTTCTGTTACTGCCAAGGGAACTGTCAGCTCTTGATTTATAATCCCCCCTTGCCCCTTTTCCCAGCAGAAGGGAGGTGAAGGGTCAGAGGTCTCAGGATGAAAAGGGGGCAAGTACCCTGAGGGCAGATTTCTGGGAGTGCAGGTTACTGGGAAGAATTAGTGGAAGGAACTGCTTAGTGAGGCAAGGGGCCCATTTCTAATGGAAATTGCTTGGTTTTATAGCAGCAGGAATGGGAAATTCTGATAGGAAAGTGAGTGATCCAGTTTGAACTATGTCTGGACTATAAGGCAAGGGACGTGGGTTCCAGTCTGGACACCTAACTCTCTTATGATTGCACAGGCTACTCCTCCCTAGGCAGTTTCCTCTTCTATGAAATGGAAATGAGGAGGTTAGACAAGGTGATGTTTACAGTTTGGTGTTCTGGAATCTCCTTGGCAGGGGCACAGAGTGTCTGGCAGTAGCTGGCTGACATGACCTGGGGACCACCTCCCTCTCCTTCCCGGATGGTCCTGCTGGGCCTGGGCAGGGCAGTTGGCTGCAATTACTGGAGGCTTCTACCCTGTGGTTATATCCCTGACCTCTGTGTTTGGGGGCGGCGGGAAGGGTGGGCCCTGGAGCCAGCCTGTGGCCAGGAGCCTCCTTGTCTTGGGCTCAAAGCTGCTGGGTTGGGAAGAGGTATTTTTTCCGGTTAAGGCCACTTTTGAGAATTGGGCCGAGACAAGCCCTATTTCCTTTTCCAACTGTCCTGCTTGCATGGCCGTGTAGCCAGACTGGGGCACCCTCAAAGGAGCACATGTTGCTGGGTGACCAGGGAGCCCCCACTCATGTCTCTGAAGGATGGGGAGATGGGATGGCATGAGCCTCTGCTCCCTGGACACAGTACCGGAGGACTTGGATGGGGGAGGGATGGATGACTGATCCTATATCAAGCATGCCCTCAGGAGAGCCGCAGGAATATCTCCTACCTTCTCCCTGACCATTCCTCTCTCCCTGCAGGTCCCGAGGAGCCCAAGCCAATTGCTCTTGGCTCCTTGGCTAGCCACATACCTCCAGCGGCTTATGGGGCACTGTTCTTTCCAGCTCTGCTAAGATGCTCCTGGCTTCTCCCTCTACCCCATCCAGGGGACGGACCCCCAGCGCCGTGGAGAGGCTGGAAGCCGACAAAGCCAAGTATGTCAAGACGCACCAAGTGATAGTGCGGCGACAAGAGCCAGCCCTGCGCGGGGGTCCCAAGCCGCTCACTCCGCATGCCTGCAATGAGCTGGGGCCCTCTGCATCGCCCAAGACCCCGAGGCCAGCCCGCCGGGGCAGCGGCAGGAGGGTACCAAGGCCTGACTCCCTCATTTTCTACCGCCAGAAAAGGGACTGCAAAGCTTCAGTGAACAAAGAGAACGCCAAGGGCCAGGGGCTGGTGCGGCGCCTCTTCCTGGGCGCCCCCCGGGACGCTGCCCCGAGCAGCCCAGACCCAACGGAGAGACCTGCGGTTCCTGGGGGTTGGGCTGCACCTCAAGACAACCCGGAAGCGGCGAGAAAGCGGGCTCTGTGTCCCACGTGCTCGCTGCCGCTGTCAGAAAAGGAGCGCTTCTTTAACTACTGCGGCCTGGAGCGCGCGCTGGTGGAAGTGCTAGGTGTCGAGCGCTTCTCTCCGCAGAGCTGGGGCGCCGACGCCAGTCCTCAGACCGGAACTTCCCCGCTTCCGGGTTCGGGGGACACCAGCGACTGGACATCCAGCGACGAGGGCGCGGACCGCCCGGACTGCCCAGGCGGTGGCGGCCGCGGCGGCTCGGAGGCGGCGGGCTCGGCGCGGGACGGGCGCCCGGCGGTGTCGGTGGTGGAGCGCAACGCGCGCGTTATCCAGTGGCTGTACGGCTGCCAGCGCGCCCGCGGTCCGCCGCGCGAGTCCGAGGTGTGATCATGGCTGCTCGGGAGCCGGCTCCTGGGGAGTCTGGAGCGCGAGGCTCGGCCTGGGCACCCTCTTGAACTCGGTTTCCCATCTGAACCTTGGGGAGATGGGACATGATCCCGAAGGCCCTTCCCAGCGCATGCCGCAGAGAGGGAGTCAGAGGGCCTTGTGGTCCCTGTGGAGGCCAGGTCTGGGGAGTGATGCCCTAGGGTGGGAGATGAACAAACCTGCTGAATAAAGCTTAAACGTTATTTCAGTGGGCCGTAAGTTCAGATTAGAGGGTGACTGTTGAGGAAGGGGATGGATCAGTTTGCCTGGTTAAGCGCATGGGTTTTGGAGTGCGGGTTCTAGACGGTGTGGCTCTGAGCAAACACTTAAGCTCAGTGTATACAACTGCGCCCGTCGGTTATTAAAGAAGAGGGCCAGCCCAGTGGTTCACGCCTGTAATCCCAGCACTCTGGGAGGCCAAGGAAGAAGGATCGCCAGAGCTCAGGAGTCCAAGACCAGCCTCAGCTACAAAGAGACTCCGCCTCTAAAAATAGCCGGGTCTGCGTTGGAGGTATAGTGGTGAGCATAGCTGCCTTTTAAAAATAGCCGTGCCTCGTGGCGGGCACCTGTAATCCCAGCTACTCGGGAAGCTCAGGCAAGAGAATCGCTTGAACCCAGGAGTCTGAGATGGCTGTGAGCTATGACGCCACAGCACTCTAAAAGAGGGCGACAAAGTTAGACTCTGTCTCAAAAAAAAAAAAGATATTACAATTTTGAAGTTAGTTGTAACGTGCGTGGCAAAGTACCCTGCATATAGAAGTGTTCAATAAATGGTAGCTGCTTCGACTACTACTGAATTAGCACCAATGTCTTTATGGTCACGTTTTCCACCGACTCCCAGCTCAACCCAAACTAGCTGGGAGCTGGGAATAGCGTGTTTGGCTAGTCCTAGGAGGCGTGTACTCCAAGCATCGGGTCCAAGAGCCTCTGAAAAGCCCCCGTTTCCTGTAGCTTTGCTGCCCCCTTGTGGTCACTGGGTATGAAGGGCTGGGATTTGGAGGATCCCACACTGAGGACATTACAAGTGATCCTTCAACCAGAACTTCACCAGCCCCCAGCTAAATATCCTGCCACTGCCCTTCCCTTCCCTCAAGGACACACAGGTCACCTGTTTTCCTCACATGTTCGCTCACGCACCTCCTTCCTTTCCTGAGTTACCTTTCCCTTTCTCTCCAAATTTCCTCCTAAAATTACTTTTATTTTTCGGGAAGCTTTCCTGAATTCCCAGTCTGCCTCATCTCCTTTGACCGCCCACGTGCAGCCCTACTTTTGTGCCTTAATTTGTCACCTTGCGAGGGATTTGCTGATAGTTAAATAAATTTTCTCATTAGTCTCTTTTCCTACTACAGGGGTTGGATTGGGCACATGGTAGGACCAGAGGCTGGACAAGAAGAGCCAAGGAAACTGTACTCTAGGGCTCCCCAGCTCCCTGGAAAGTTGTATCTTAAATCTAACACAGTCCTTCCTGATACCTGGGCTGCCTCTGTTAATTCCCGCCCCCCAGTGTTTGTAGGCAAAGGAAGTAAGGACCCCTCCAGATGGACCCTGCCTGAGGTATCCCACCTAAAAGCAGCTTTTCCGGCTATCTAGACAAAAGCACGCGGTCACACAGGGTATCGAGCCAGGGGGTTTTATGAGGAGAGGAGAGGAGTGGACCTCCAGTTCCGCCTACTGGCTAGTCACTCTTGGGCGCAGACTTCACCCTCATCTCGGCCAGTTTGTGGGTAAGAAAGCCCCACTTGAAGCCGGCCACCGGGTCGGCCTCCCGCGGCTCCGGGCGCTCGGCGGCTTCCTCTGCGGCCTCATCCCCGAGTTCCGGGTCCGGCTCCCGAGTGGGCTCCGAGGCGCGCAGGATGGACGCCGCCGCTGCCTGCGGCTGCTGCCACCTGCTGGCGAACGCGTCCCAGAATCCCGGTCCGCGAGGCTCGGCCGCTGCAGCCTGAGATGCGTGACTGGCCGCCAGTGGGCTGCGGGAGAGGGCGGGGTCAGGGGCGGGGCTGGGCGTCCGGGAAAAGGAACTGAGGGGAGCCGGCGAGTCTCAGGGCCGAGTAAGGGGCTGGAGGAGCCTAGGCTAGGCTCGGGGCTGGGGGTCTGGCGCCGGGTCAGGTGACTAGGGATGGGGAGTGTGGGGGCGGGGCTGGGGAGTGTGTGTGCTGGGGGGTGGTGGGATCTGAGCCTAGAGGCAGTAGGAGGGCTCAGAGGCGCTGGCAATTGGAGCTGGGGAAGTACAGGGTCAAGGAATTAGGCAAGGGGTGTGGAGAGAGGGGATCAAGATCAAGATCCCTGGGAAGAGAGCAGGGCCATGGGGTTTAGGGAGGTGGGACAAGGCCGGAGGAGAGAAGCTGGAGGTGGTGAGTCTGGGAAGCTAGAGGAGGAACCCTGAGAGAGGGGCGTGGCCCAAGAATTCCTGGGGGGCATGTTGTATCGTAAATCTAACACAGTCCTTCCTGATACCTGGGCTGCCTCTGTTCATTCCCGCCCCCCAATGTTTGTAGGCGAAGGAAGTAAGGACTCCTCCCGATGGACCCTGCCTGGGGTCTCCTACCCAAAAAGTACTAGTCACCCTTGGGCAAAGACTTCACCTTCCTCTTGGCCAGTTTGTGGGTGAGGAAGCCAAGGGGGTACTTAGATCCCACTTGGAGGAAGCCTTCGGGAAAAGAACCGGGCAAGGACCTGTCAGGTCCTAGGATTCAATGTAAGGGGGAAAGTCCAGATTAGAGACTTAGGGGAGGGGGAAACTGGGGCAGTGGATGGCGGTAGGTGGGAAATGTGGGGGAAGGGCAGTGAAGAAGGGGTGTGACGCTTGCAGTGGTAGCCTCAAGTCTGGGAATAGTCCTGAGGGAACTGGGAGGAAGTGGGAATAAGTGTGGAGAGCAGGAAAGGAAAGCTGGGGGCAGGAGAGAAGGAGGGGTGAAGGCGGGTCTAGGAGAAAGGAATAGGATTGGGGGGGAATGTGACTGGCTGAAGGAAAGGGCAGAAAAGGAGTGTGAGCTAGGAGGGAGACTTGAGGTCTTGGGTCCTAGTTCCTAATCGTTAGCTTCTTAAACAGTGGTTCTAAAGAGCTTCTAAAGAGCTTTAAAGAGCTTCTAAAACAGTGGTTCTCAAACGTGTGTGCCTCAGGGTCCATAGAGAACTTGTTCAACATATAGCTAGATAGTCAGGCCTCTGCCTAGGCCAGCTGTATCAGAATCTCCAAAGGAAGGTAGAGGAATCTGTGGTAGTGACAAGCTCCCTTGGAGGACAATTAGACAATATTTTGGAACCACTGATCTGGATCCCCTTCTGTTGTAAACACCTTAAAGTTCTTCTCTGTTCCCTCATTCTAGGGAGATGAGGAGTAAGAGCCCATAAATACCTTTCAGCACTTAATCCCAACAGCTGGCAAATTCCTCCTGAGAGCTAACCTAATCTCTCAGATGTGCTGATTTGGCCTCTTTCCTGCTGAGAGGAAACAGAAACAGCCCTTGGCTGTCCCTCCCCAGCCCCTTGTGGTTGGAAAAACAAACAGAACAGAAGGAAAGGAAAAGGCAGAAAAGAGACCAGGTCCCTTCCAGAACCACCCCAAACACACATACACATACTGGTCAGCACAGGGCTCTGGTGGTAGCAGCTTGTCCTCGTCTTCTTTGTTAAACAGAGATGACATTGTCAGCCAACTTTTCACCCCGACCCCTTGAACCTGGGAGGGGGGCTGGGAGTCAGGGAAAGGCCCCAGCACAACCTCCCAGGACTCCATGGCAGCCTCTGCCAGGATCCCCAAGGTTGAGGTGGAAGAATAGAGAACTCACCCGGCGGGCCAACTGTGACATGGGACTGAAGTTCTCCTCTGTTGGTTCTGCCTTCTCGGAGTCCACTAATGCTGGGTTCTCTCTCTGGGACACAAGACCCCACCCAGTATGAGTAAGGCCCCAGAGGAGACCTGCTAACCCAGTACACACAGACTAGTAACCCCAAACCCTGCAGAACTAAACACACATCTGTACATCTCACACCTCCACAAGGGCATATTGGGTGCATACAGGTATACACAAAGCTACCAGTCACAACACATACCTGTATGGTAAATCCCTGCAGATACCCCTGAACGCACTTGCCTGCCCACCCCCGGACATTCATACACACTCCAAAAAACATGGACAAGGGAATGCATGCTCATGTAGACACACACCTGCCCATGAGCAAGCCTCCACATGGCTACAGCTTTTCACCTATACATAAATATATGTGCTGTGAGGCACTTGTATGAGGACACACACAGTTATACCATTCACACCTGTGCACTTACAGAATTGGAGACAGTTGTACAAAGGTCTGCCTACAGCACACAAAATCTTTCCACCCATCCACCAGGTACTCAAACACATATACCATCCTAACATAATGCCTGCAAATCTCTACATAGAGTCATGCAAGCATAGACTCCTGTCCAGAATGTTCACACCTGCATATATACCTTCACGGGGGGGTTCCACACAGACTTCCATCACAGTACTCATCCACGGACCAGCTTTGGATGCCAATCTGTCTAAATATACTACGTATATTTATTTTTACACACACCCCCACAGGACTAGTTCCTGCCTGTCATAACTACTTGTAAAACTTATAAGACTCCCACTTATCCCAATCTGTAGATATAAGACAATTCCCAGTTTTTAGGGACAGGGTCACACTCTTGTTGCTTAGGCTGGAGAACAGTGGTGTGATCATAGATCACTGCAGCCTTGAACTCCTAGGCTCAAGTACAACAGTGCATCACTATACTTGGCTAATTTTTAATTTTTTTTTGTAGAGATAGTGTCTCTCTCTCTTCTTGCCAAAACCTCCCACCTCAATCTCCAGAGTCCCTGAGATTATAGGTGTGAGCCAGTATGCTGGCTTTTTTTGTTTTGTTTCCTTTTTTTTTTTTTTTGAGACAGAGGCTCAAGCTGTTGCCCTGGGTAGAGTGCTGTGGCGTCACAGCTCACAGCACCCTCCAACTCCTGGGCTTAAGCAATTCTCTTGCCTCAGCCTCCAAAGTAGCTGGAATTACAGGTGCCTGCCACAACACCAGGCTATTTTTTTTTGGTTGTAGTTGTTGTTGTTTGGCAGGCCACAGCTGGATTCAAACCCACCAGCTCTGTGTATGTACACTGAGCCTGATTTCCTAATGTCAGAATAAAGTATTTTCTGAGTATGGCTTTGATCTCATGTGCTACAATAACATTCCAAGGACAAGTGCTACTTCCACTATCTCCAGTAATAGGGGACTCACTACCTCATTCTCACTTCTGCTGCTTAGCGCTGCCCATTAGAAAGTTGTGTCAACCTGGCTCGGCGCCTGTGGCTCAACCGGCTAAGGCGCCAGCCACGTACACCTAAGGTGG